AAGTGGGGGTGAAGTGCTGGTAGCTGGTGAAGCTTGGTGAGGTGGGTGTCGTCTCGGGGTTGTGGCAGCGGCGCGATGTGGAGTTCGGCCAGGTAGTACTTCAGCTCCTCTATGGCCCACTTGATGGCCAGAGCCTCCCTCTCCACTGCAGCGTATTTCTTCTCCATGGGGGGGTCAGCTTTCAGCTCGCATAGAAGCCTGGGTGCTCCTCCCCATCAAAGATCTGTGAAAGGACGGCCCCCAGTCCTGTCTCCGACGCATCCGTTTGAACAATGAAGGGGAGGCTGAATTTGGGGTTTCAAAGGACAGGGGAGCCCATCAGCGCCTGTTTCAGTTACTCGAAGGCTCGCTCAGTCTCCCGACTCCAGTGCACCCTGTCCGGCTGGCTTTTCCTGATGAGATCTGATAGGGGAGAGGCAATCAAGGAGAAGTTGGACAAGAAGCAACTGTAATAACCAGCCAACCCCAAGAACGCACGTACCTGTTTCTTGGTGATGGGACTTGGGTACTCACGCACAGCTTCCACCTTCTTATTCTGCAGCATCAGGAGCCCCTGGCCGATGCGGTACCCCAGGTACTGTGCCTCTGTGAGTCCCAGGTGGCATTTCTTGGGGTTGGCGGTCAGCCCAGACTTCCAGAGCTCCCCTAGGACCTCCCTAAGATGGCGCAGGTTGCCAAGTGGAAGAATGAATTACGACATTGTCGATACAGGCCGCAGCGTACTGGCGATGGGGCCATAGGACCACGTCCATCATTCACTGAAGAAGGTGGAGAAAGCCATCTTGGGTTTGGCCTCTGGATTCAAGGCCACCTGCCAGTAACCTTTGGTCAGGTCGAAGGTGGAAATAAACTGGGCCCTCCTCAGTCCCTCCACCAGGTCGTCGACCCTAGGGAGGGGGCAGCTGTTAAATTCCGAAACCTGGTTCAGCTTCCGGAAGTCGTTACACAGCTGGATGCTCCTGTCGGGCTTGGGCACCACGACAATGGGGCTGGACCAGGGGCTGGTTGACTCCTCAAAGACACCGTCTTGGAGCATCTGGCTGACCTCCTCCTCAATTGCCCTGTCAAACCACGACTCCTGGTGGGG